AACAATCGTGGAACGATGAATGCCAACTCATAGGCATAGCTTGTGGCCGTGAGTTCACCTCGCCATGACCATGGAGCTACGCCTCTCTTTCGCTTTTAGTTGCTTCTTCATGCTCAAGCCCTTGTATGCTTGTACCCCGTTTAACCATCATGTTTCTCTGATTCTCGCAGTGACAACCGCACCGCTTCGAATCCGAGAGATATCTCAGTGCCAGTGCACCTAGGTCGGGTACCCTACGAGTGGCTTACGCACTTGGTGTTCTTGAGCGTCGCTCTTTCCGATGCCCCATCTTTGTCGTAGCGTGTGCGTTAGAAGAAGTGGACCTTGCTCTTGGTTGTTCTTTCTCTTGTTGCCCCGATAGCCCGCTCTGTTCGATCCCATCTTGCCCGTAACGATTGTATCAAAGACCGGACTATTCCCTTTTGTTAGCGAAGCTATGGTCTATGTCGTACCTCGGACCCGTGCGTGTTGACAAGATCGACCATCTAAAAACCATCTTCCCTGAAGATGTGTCTAGGAACATAACATGGACATGCCTAGCTAACCCCGCTGCTTTTGCCGTGTTGAACGACTGTCTCCTCGGCTCCCGATGTTGATGTGTCGTGTGGATCGAGAGGACCCGTCGCTGTCCAACCTCTTTGCGCTACCGCTTCCTACCATAGCGGGTGAGCCAAAGTACATTGGAGCCAAGTCACAATAGTGTTATTCGTTCTTGTTGGCTACTCGTGTCCAATTGTGACTTGCGGGATAAGGCTGTAAGAGCCGAACCTGTCGTTCTTCTTCTTAGGGCCCGACTTCCAATCCCCGTCGATTCAATGACACCGGATCGGAAGATCGTGAGCCGTGGTGTGCTATGGATAAGCTTTGGCTTAAACCATCTATCCTAAAGCCATACTGGCTTGGCCATGACTTAAGCTTGTGCTTAGCAAACCACCATTTATGATTCTTGGCCCAAGGAAATCAGACAACCGCCGAGAGGGCTAAGCCGTGTATCTCTTATTGTCTCGATGGCGTTATTGGATTTTCCTGCGTCTTGTCGTATTTTCAAGTGTTGAGTGTTCTCTTGCCTTGCGTGTCGCTTTGCGGAGTGGCTGATGATCGGACCAAGAGAACGAGGACGACGACAAGGACTGCGGAATGGAGTCAACACAGGAGGAGGTGACCCCGCTAATGGAACACCAACGAATGGAGAATTGAACCACTACTACCTCTACATCGCAGGTGTCATGGCAGCACCCTCTTTTAGAGAATCCTATTAGACATTGCATAATATCTAGAACTGCTAGCGCTTTATAATTATTCCTTTGCTAGAACTTTGATGCATGCTACTACCTGAGCTATTATTACCCTGATGCAACCCACTCTACCATGTCACCCTGCTTTGCGCATTCGCTCGCTTATATATGCTTACTAGCCTGTTTGCTTGCATATTACACCACTATACTTATTATTAACTCCACTTCGCATTATATCGGGGATGTGATGCTGGTGGTGCACCCCCTGGAAATGGCTTGGCTATGGGTGCTGGACTTGGTGGTGTGTGAGCGTGCTGCGTGTGTCTTGGGTGCGTGAAGAGTGAGGGTTGTGTCGACCGAGCTGGAATAACGACGAGCCTGGGGCGAGTCTTGCCATGTGGTGCTACTTGGGCACTTGGATATGGAATACCTGTGGCGGGTAAATGGTAATTGGAGGTGGCCTTGGGTGTGAACCTCGGAGAGGTGGAGCTCGGGGTGGAGGTGCTGTGGTGGCACGATAAATGGAAACCCTGATGAAGACATTCTGGCTTGGTCACCCCTAAGGACTTACTAGTACTCAGATTCACCGGGAATCCTTTACATCCCACTCGCCCTATATGGTGCGGGACGGTCGGACTACTTGGTAGAGCGATGCCACTACTGCTAGGCGAACGTGTGCAAGGAGGTACGGGGTGCGCGGTTTTCCCCCCACACCCTTCCGAGACTTCAGGAGACCTTGTGGACCGGCTCTTGACATCCGGTGGGCCCCGGCTCTGTCTACGACTCACAGTATCAGCCATCCCAGACTAGACTTGGGATGTTCCAGGGCTGAGAGGTAGGGTGGCATCGTTCTAGGCTAGTAAGCGGCCGGAATCTGCCTAGACGGGGCACCATCGAGGATGGCTATCTTGTGGGTATGTGAAACCTCTGCAGAGTGTATGGTTGATCGATCGATACATATGCCGACTCATCGGCTATGGACCTTTCCTGGGTTTCGCTTAAACTAGATAGGAGATGAGTCCTTCTTTTCTCCCTCCAGGGTTGGGGTATTTTCCGGTCGTGAGCCTTGGGGCTGCGGGCCATTGAGACAAGGCCGAGAGGGAGTTGGCCTGTCGACCTGAGTGTGTGAGATGAGATAAGGTGTGGTGGTGTGGAGATGGTTTGGGATGGATGGTTGGTGGATGGATATGGATGGATGTGGATGTGTGTGGTTGGGAATGTGTTAAAAACTGTACATTATTATTACATTACTACTGTTACTTACTTCTCATGCGCTAAGGATGCAAACCACAGCCAAATGTTAGGATCATCAGATCCTCTTGTTTTATCTTTTCCACCAAAGCTCATCGGTGCTGACCATGGCCTACACACATCTGGCGGTGTGCAGATTTCCTGCTTCTCAGAGATGCTGACTTTAAAAGGATTAGGAGGTCTCGTGCCTACGCTTAAGTTTAGTTCGGAGATGGAATCTACGCTGCACTACGTCAACTCTGATGATGCCCGTGAAGGAGGAGCCTTCACTCGATAGACTTCCGCTAGATTAACTCTGTCATAGGTGTGTTCCTCAGTGATGTAATACCTTTTATCTTGTAATCTTACGAAGTATGACAGTGATATCGACTGATATATGATAATATGACGGAATCAACTATTGGTTTCATCATATTATAATTCATTCTGTGGATTTTCCCTTCGTGGAAAATTGAGGATGTTTCACCTATGGTGCCTGCAGTCTTGTTTGGTTCTTTGTGGTTTTGAATCAGACTGGGGCATTGAGTAGTAAAATAGACCTTTTCTCCATTTTACATATAGTTTGAATTTAAGCAAGTTGTTTGAAAACTAAAGTCAGCGCACTTAGTTTAAATGAAGGTGTTTTTTTACTCCTTATGCTCCACCTTGCAAAGAAATGTTTTGCTATATATGGCCTCATGATCTTTTTTGAGCTTTGTACAGTAGAGTGTTTCGTACTGTATGTGATATCATGACTGCAGTGTAAATAAAATAGGACATGCACAAGTTACTTCCTTTGATTATCGATATAAGTCAATATATGTTTGTCCCATTTTTTTAAAAAAAAATTGACTATAAATATCTAAAATTTTATATAGTTTGACATCGCAAAATTGATACCACTAGATTCATTGTGAAAATACTCTCATAATATATAACTCTTTTCATTTAAGATAATATATTTTGTGCATATTGCTAGCCAGAGTATTTTTGACATAGGGCATATCTGGACGGACTTATGTTTGTGATTGGAGGAAGTGTTTAACTATGTTAACAAATTGGGTATTGGATATATGATATATAATACTTGCTTTCAATGATATTTGCTGGTTTAGTCAACCTGCAAATGCCTGTACTTCACATGAAAATTGCATCTAACATAATGTCTACCTGAGATGGTGAATTAATAATTCTGTCAACTGCAAGTATGTTTTGGTGCCATCTTAAACTATTACTGCCGTAGTTTCGTATTTTATTTCCTAATTAGTCATTAGTCATTACTATATTTTGGTATGGTTTTCATAAAGTAGGTTATATGCAGTATTTCAGACAAATGATTCATTGTGATGTTTACCTAACTCCAAAAATTCTGGTCCAGATAATTTTGAAGGTTTCCCACCGTAACATATTTATTGCTAAACTATTTCTTATTTAGGTTTGATATACTTGAGATCAGCTAGAGTTTGTTGGCTGACTACCGGTCTCTACCTCTGGCCTGTTTTCTAAATTTACTGTGTTAACCTTGCTTAAGATTGAGATAATACAAATCTGACTAGAGTCTAGCACACTCAATATATCTGATGATGGCTCTGTTATGCTCATGCTAGCATCAAACTAATTGTTACTATACTAAGGAGGGGGCTATGGCTTGCCCAGACATAAAAAGGCTCAATGTAGGGTATCTATCTAGAGTGTTTCCTAATTTATGTAGCATACAAAAAACCGATCCAAATGTTATGGGTTGCAGCTGATGTTTAATTATCAATGACCCAGTATATCATAACTAGTGAACTTGGATACTGTATCAGAAAAATATGAGAATGCTACCAGACTATTTTATGGTATTATCGTTTGTTACTTCTATAGTTGATAATTTATAACAAACCCCTTGGCATTTCTGCAGAATGCTGTATGTGAAATGTGTGGAGCTATTGGTTTTGAACATCTCCTTTTACGTTGCAGTGACTGCAACGGAGCTCATAAACATCAGTATGTGACTTTTAGGATACCTAATTGTTAATGTTGCAACAATATGAACAAATAATTACCTGGTACATCTGTTTTTTGAAGTATGCTATTGCCACTTGATCTAGAAAAGGCCTTATCTGTACCTTTAAACATATTTTGTTGAATCCATTATTTATGTTTTCTTGTTAATGGACATAGTCAATAATAGATTTGTTCTCTTTTGAAAGTTTTTTTTTATCATAGATCACATCAAATGCGCTACTTCTGGCACTACATGTTTTGCTTTCTTTCTAGATCGAAAAGCTTAAGTAGAGAGATTTATTCTCTTTTGAAATTTTTTATCATAGATCACATTAAATGTGCTACTTCTGCAGTTTAGTTATGTTAGTACTACATGTTTAGCTTTCTTTTCTGGATCTAAAAAATAGGCCATCCTTTTCATGAATTCATCATTGGTGCAGGTACTGTTTGGACAAAGTTCTCTTTGATGCATCTTTAGAAGACTGGTTTTGCAATGAATGCAATCAAAGGCATAATGAAGGTTCTCACAGCAGGTCCTGCAAATCAATGCAAACTCCACAATCACTAACAATGGATCAAGCATGCTCGACTTCATCCTTAGAGATCTCTTCAAAAGTTAAATTCGCTCTTGAGGCTAGTGTTACAGAAGTTGAAATTTCTGACACTGTTCAAAACTTGAGAAAGGACAACCCAAAAAAGCGTAGACGTCTCATTCTAACTGGTGACGATGAAGATGAAGAAGAGAAGGCTGAAGATGTCCAGCAGGAAAATGTCAATCATCAACCTCTTAAGTGTAATGAACCAATGGTGAAGGATTGGGTAAACACTGAATATTATTATGTGGAAGAGGCTGTACAAACTGGAGACTTTAATGACAAAAATCTCATAAATGCTAGGTCAATGAAGCGGAGGAGAAGATACATAGTTGAAAATGAAGAGGAAGACGATATCGAAGGTGCTGAGTCTGCTCTGAACAATGCTTCAAAGTGGTCTTTAAATGACAGTGCAAAGATGGCGTCACAAACTCCAGTTGCAACAGACCATTCTCTCCAATCCAGACCATCTGATTCAGAATATGCCGATCGACAATATCATATTTGTTTGCAACCCCTTGATGAGCCTGTTTGGAGGTATGTTAGATGATCTTTTTCTTCGCTGAATCAAAGTAATATTCTTGTATAATATGTGATGCATCGTACAATATTTTTCTTCTCTGAATCAAAGTAATATTCGTTTGTTCTTTGAAAAAAAGTGATATTCTTCTTTTTTGTCTGAAAATGTGATGCATTCTTTTTTTAATTTGAACAGTGGAGTCTTTAAGATAGACAACAAAGTGTTTCTTAAGTTGGATGCGCACTTGTCAAACAAAGCGTGCCAGAGAGTTCATGAATTGTCAGGATTGTTGCAGCCAGTAGTTGAAGTAACGACGCTCTCTCGGTCGCAAGCCTGGCGAGACAGATGGATATCTTCAGGACCTACTGATGACAATATTGGGTTATTTTTCCTCCCACATAGTTCGACGTGTGTTTGCCTCTCTAATGATTTCCTCTTCCCATACCCAATGTGATTCTGGTTTACTAATATTCTCATTTCATTCCAGGCAAAATGAGGAATTAACCAGACTTAACAGAATTATCAAGAGTGATGATGCCTTACAGGTTACTGTTGGTATTGCGGAGTTACTGATTTTCCCCTCTGTCCTATTGGCAGAACAATATCATCGTAAGTGTCGCAGTTGGAGAACCCCCCCCACTCCCATTTGCTAGCTAGATGATGCAAACACCTGTTTCTTTTCCTATTAACCCTTTTGATATGATCCAGCGTTGCTTTTGATATATCCTTGTCATATTGGAATATATTTCTGACCTTTTCCTATTACTGAACAAATTCTTTTGATTTTTAGTTTTCCAAGGGAAACACTACCTGTGGGGAGTGTTTAGGCAAAGAAAAATATTCTTGACAATGGTGTTCATGATGAAGAGCATGATGGTTCAGTGCATGCGACAGGGGAAAGGCAACATCAAGAACATGATCTTTTGGACCAACAAGATGAAGCATTGTATGACTTATTAAACAAAGAAACTTTTGCTGTGAAGCATGTTGTGGATGCTGAGGATCAACTGCAGGTGGAGGGTGACCCTGAGGTACAAAATGAACTCCTACCGTTGCTGGGTGAAAAGGAGTGGGCTTGGAATGTTGCCATGACTCTGAAATAATGTTAATGAAAATGATTTTTTTGTAGGGCACTAAAAGGTGGACCACTATACTTATGAGGTGCAGTTTTAAAAATAATATCATGGCAGCTGGAGTTCTGTCAGATGACGCAAAAGACAAGGTCCGTTCTCTTGGTTTCGGTGACTTGCTGGATCTCACCGTAGAGAGCCTTCAAAGCAGAGAAAGAATCGTATGGCTGGCAGAAAGATGCGACGTTAGCTCTGAGGGCGAAAGATTTGTCATCAAAATTAACCCTGGCAAATCACTGGAGATCACACCAGAGTTGGTGCATGATAAACTTGGTATCCCTCGCGGTTGCGGGGACAATAACAGTTGCCTGTTGGGTAGCAAGCTAACTGCTAAAGAAAAAATGAATGAATACAAGAAACTATGTAATGAGATGAAAGAAGCTGGTTTTGTGGTGGATTTTGCGATCAAGCCAAAGACCAAAGATGGTAAGAAGCCCAGAAAAGAGAAAGAAACAAGGATCAAACTGGATATTTTCATCCAGTACATGAAGGGAATCAGGGATGTCGATAAGCAAGTCAAATGTTTCTTGTGTATTTTGATGAACCGGCTTCTGCTGCCCACTACTTCTGATTACATTACAGGTGAGAACATAGCTTTTTGTTCTGACCTGGAAAGGATGGAAAAGCAGGATTGGTGCAAGATCGTTTGTCAACGTCTGAAGGATGGTATCTCAGAATGGATGCGAAAGAAAGGAAAAGAAAATGCATCAGATGCAGTCCCTACGGGTTGCACAGCTGTGCTGCTTGTAAGAATCTTTAAAACCATTTCTTTTATGTACAATAAAATAAAATTTATGTTTAACACTGAAATTGTGGTTGACAGATATCGTACCTAGACAGTCTTCTCCCGGAGCTTGGACAGGAGAAACCACACATCAAGCACTACAGTAAAGAGAAACTTATGAAGATGCTAGCACAAGCAAATGAAAAAGATAAAATGGAGAAGTGCAAGAAGGATAAAAAAGAGAATGAAAAAGATAAAATGGAGAAGCACACGAAGGATAAAAATGAGAAGTGCAAGCAGAAGATGTATGATAACCCAAAACACAAGGTACAGAAGCAAGCATGCATGTTCTTTCTTCCTGTAAATCCTGTCTTTACACGTGCGGCCTTTCCTTTCAGGAATCGGAGCAGGACATAGTGGCACAAATGCCATCACTGAAATATTTGCTCAAGCCATTTTTGGAGAATGTGCCGGATATTATCCGAGATGAGATAAACACTGCAGTGGAGAATCATCAAACTACGATAAACACTGCAGTGGAGAATCTGTTGGCCCAGATGATCACCGGTTCAGGTGAGTCGACCACTCACCAGTCTTACCGACCACGGTCGAGCACGATAGAGGCTGTCCGACCACACACACTATTGCTAGAGGTAGAAGAAGAGGTAGAACACAGCATACACACACGGTACAAGCACCAGCGTTGGCCGGAGCCCTGTATAGGAGATGGCAAATCTGAACTCTCTTTATTGAGTTACAGTGGTAAACTATTTAAACAACTCTACTCTATCTAGTCCTAATACAACTGTCATGCTGCTACAGTACTAGATAACACAGCAGGGCTGACTCTGGCCCCTGCCCCTGCATGTGGCTACAGTCCGGCAGGTGAATCGTTCGGCGCCTGCCTCTACAGCGGCTACAGTACCACAACATGGAGCCTTTTCGGCGCCGCCTTCCCTTGCTATGTGTTCACACAAGGAAGCAGTAGATTATCTAACAATTCTTCCCCTAATCTTACTGCTATCCCTTGTAACCCTTCCATGCCGATCATCTCCTTCAGCTCCGTGAGTCGAAGACATCCGAGCAGTTTGGTGAGGATGTCCGCGAGTTGCCAACAAGTTTCGATGAACTCGATGACGATTTGTCATTCATCGACACAGTCCCTGAGGAAGTGAAACTTCACATTGATGTGCTTGCTCCGGTCGTGCAGAACCAGATTCTTCGCAAGGGCGATGACGGGCTGGTTGTTCACCATCAGTGTTGGTGGGTGAGCTTTCACACTGATCAGCTCACCCAGCAGCCGGCGTAGCCACACAACTTGGCACGTCGCTGTGGCCGTCGCTACGTACTCTGCCTCGCACGTAGATAGCGCCACCACCTTCTGTTTCAGCGACAACCATGTAATTGGAGCCGACCCGAGGAAGACGAGCACGCCAGAGGTGCTCCGTCGTCCGTCGATGTCCCCTGCCATGTCTGCATCGCTGAACACAGTGAGCTGCAGCCTACTCCCGTTGGTCTTGGGGAAGATGATCCCCTAATCCACCATCCCTTTCACGTAGCGCAGTAGCCACTTCACCGCAGCCCAGTGATCCTCTCTAGGATCCTTCATGAAGCGACTGACGTAGCCCACGGCGAACGCAATGTCCGACCTCGTGTGTACTAGGTAGCTGTAGGGTCGAGATGGCGACTAGAGAGGTGTGAATAGTCGTTTCTAAAACTTAATCGTGTCGGCTAACCGAAATAAATGCGAAATTAAAACTATTGGTCTAGTTAAGACTACACCCCTCTATCTATGTTCTCTAGCACCTTGCGAAGATTCTAATTAAGCAACAAAGGTGCCGGGCTAGCTAGAGCTCACCTAACCAATTTTAGGAGCAAGGTCACACAAACCTATGCAAATAGTATTTCAAGCAATGAGGGAGCTCCTACACATGCTAATAAGCAAAAGCACAAAGCCAACTAAGCTCACTAGCAATGCTCAATAACAAGGCAACCAATGCTAAATTAGAGAGCGCAAATACTTAGCCACACAAACTAAGCAAAGTGACTAACAAGGTTACACAAACCAAATTAGCCATGCAAGGGAGCTACTTCTATGCTACGCAAGCAAGAAGGTAACTAGTGAGCTACATAAGCTAACTAATCACAAGAGCAACTACACAAGCACAATGTATATAAAAATAATCACAAGCTTGTGTAAGGGGATTGCAAACCAACGAGAAGAACAAGGTTGACATGGTGATTTTCTCCAGAGGTTCACGTGCTTGCCAACACACTACGTCCCCGTTGTGTCGACCGCTCACTTGGTGGTTCGGTGGCTAATTGGCATCACCCGCCAAGCCCGCACGTCGGGCACCGCAAGAACCTACCCCAAAAGTGAGGGTAGTTCAATGACACGCTCAACTAGAGTTGCTCTTCACGGCTCCCGCGGGGCGAGCACAATGCCCCTCACAAAGCTCTTCTCCGAAGCACTGCACAAGCTTCTTGCGGGCTTCGACGGAGACCACCACCAAGCCGTCTAGGAGGTGGCAATCTCCAAGAGTAACAAGCACCACCGGCTTGCAACTCGATCACCTAGTGCCACTCGATGCAATCTCACAATGCAACGCACTAGAATCACACTCACTCGCAATCGATTCGCACTCATGCAAGCACAAGTGAGTTAGAGGGCATCCAAGCACTCCTACACAAGCCACATAGGCGTGAGGGTGCTCAGCAACCAGCCCAAGGCCGGCCACACACTCCTTTTATAGCCCAAAGGGCTAAAATAGTCGTTACCCCTTCACTGGGCAAAGCGCGTACTGACCGGACGCGCAGGTCATAACGACTAGACACTGGACCCCAGCGTCCGGTTACTTACAGAGAGGTTCCAGAGATGTTTTTCAGCGACCGGACTCTCCCAGCGTCCGGTCGCTTATGGACACGCTAAAAACACTGACCGGACAATGTGACCGGACTCGCAGGTGCTGACCGGATGTTGGGTTCCAGCGTCCAGTCATTTTTCGCGCCAGCGTCCGATCACAGACCTTTCAGCGCTAAAACGGCTATAACTCTTAGCTCTGAACTCCGATTTCGATGATCTTAGACATTTTGGAAAGCTTACTCAGAGGGCTACACATGCATACTTGATCTAAATCACAATGGATCAAAACAGTATTCTAATCCAAGGACCATCCTATAGTTCGGAGTACACCAAAAAACCTTTTTCTCTTCTCTAAGTTGATTCACAACAACTCTAACTTCTTCTCCTTTACAAATGTGCCAACACCACCATGTGTATGTGTGTTAGCTTTTCACAAACATTTTCCAAAGAATTAGCCACTCAACTTGCCACGCCACTCGATCCTAGCGATGATGCAAAGTTAGATCACTCGAGTGGCACTAGATGACCGATATGCAAACAAGTTTGTCTCTCTTGATAGTACGGCCATCTATCCTATACCCGGTCATCAACTTCTCTACACACCTATGACCGGTGAAATGAAATGACCTAGGTTATACCTTTGCCTTGCGCATTCCATTCCATCTCCTCCAATGTCGATGCAACACATGCACCAACATGATCAACAATGATATGATCCACTTCATATCATCATATGATCATATTGGTTCATCGATCTTGACTTCACTTGCTTTTCACCGTTGCCTTCGTCCATCGACGCCAAGTCTTGCTCAAGCTTCACCGCCACGCGGTCTATCGCTCCAAAGCCTCTGACTTGCCCTTCACACTTGCAACCGGTCCATCAAACCAAGTCTTGTCTTGATCTTCTCCACCTTGATCACATGACTCAATGTCATGTCTTATGTGCAATAAGCTCCTTCATCATCACATGTGTGAGCTTTGCAACATCTCCAAGCCATTTTCACCTTCATGGCATATGTTGCTCACATATATGTACCTGTGGACTAATCACCTGTGTATCTCACATAAACACAATTAGTCCACCTAGGCTGTCACTCAATTACCAAAACCACACAAGGACCTTTCAGTAGCATAGATCATCGATGATGCTCCGGTAGAGTGTTGCATCCACCTTCGCCGTGGTGCTGGCCTTCGTTAGCTTCAACCGCTCCTCCATCGGAGTCACGCATGGCTTGTACTCAGCCATGCCGCTCCACTCCAACAGCTTCGAGGCATACACGCTCTGACCGAGCATGAGTTCCTCCTTCCCCTGTCTCACCTCGATGCCAAGGTAGAAGGAGAGTGCGCCGAGATCGCTCATTCAAAAACGAGTCGCCATCTCGCGCTTGAAGATGTTGATGTCCTCCGCACGCGCGCTGGTGACGATCAAGTCGTCCACATACACGCCGACGACGAGCTCCTCCTTCCCCCATCGCCGCGTGTATAGCGCATGCTCGATTGCGCACCTCGTGAACCCAAGCTCACCCAGCGTGGCGTTAAGCTTGGCGTTCCACGCTCGTGGGGCCTGCCGCAGCCCATAGAGCGCCTTGCGCAGTCGGAGCACCCTTTGCTCCGCTCCCTTGACGGCAAAACCTGGAGGTTGCCTGACGAAGATCGTCTCCGCCAGCTCACCGTTGAGGAAGGCCGATTTAACATCCAAGTGATGGACGCACCAGTCCTTTGCTACTGCCAAGGCTAGTAGCAAATGAACAGACTCCATGTGCGCTACTGGCGTAAAGACTTCCTCGAAGTCGATGCCCTCGCGCTGAACAAAGCCTCGGGCGACAAGGCGCGCCTTGTGCTTGACAATGGCATCGAGCTCGTCCCACTTGACCTTGTACACCCACTTCAAGCTGATCGGATGGCATCCTAGAGGTGGATCGACAAGCTCCCAAGTCTCGTTTTTCTTGATCGCCTTCATCTCCTCCAGCATCGCCCGTCGCCAATTTCCATCGCACTTAGCCAGCGCAAACGTGGGTGGTTCCTAAGCACTGACGAGCAGCAGCTCTTGATCATTGAGCAGCCGACTAGCCAGGCCTGAGGGCCCTATACTGATGATGTCATCCAGCCTGCGGAACCACACATCCTCAGCTTCGTGGAAGGCGTCGCACGAACTCAGTGATGTCACTTGGAGGTGAGGCAAACTCGATCGACATCGATGGAGTTCCCTGTTCCGCTGGAGTGCTTGGCACCCTGGTTGCAGTGCTCGGCACTACTCCTGGACAGCTCGTCACAACTCCTGTAGTGCTCGACACCACTATAGGAGTGCTCAGCCTTAGTCTTGGAGTGGTCGGCACCACTGCAAGACTTCTTGGCTCCGCTACGGGAGTGCTCGGCACCCGTCCTGAAGTGGTCGCCACCACTATAGAACCTCCCGACACCACTCCTGGCGTGCTCGGCATCCCTCCAAGAGTGCTTGGCATTCCTCCCGGAGTGCTCGACATCCCTCCCGAAGTGCTCGGCACTGTCCCAGGAGTGCTCGGCTCTGTTGCTGGAGTGCTCGACACCCCTCTTG